AAAAAGTAGTACCAGCCATATAGAAAGGCAATACCAGTTGTACACTGCCTTAGTACAGTTATCAGGTCTTTAGTACCACATGTAAGGAACTCGTAAAAACACCGAATTTCGTACGCAATTGACGTTTATACGAGATTTCATAATCACTCTAACATTAGTTTATACGAGATTTCAAATATTTTTATTTCAGTACAAACATATAGGTACTAATAAGTTAAAACATATAGATAGTAATAAGAAAACACTACTACTATACTTCATTTCATTGAAAGACACCCTTCATCTCATAGGATCATCATACATGACTACTCCAATTTGTACCTATATGTTTTAACTTCTGATATTTTTCGTCCGCATCACGCGTACACGATCCACATGACAAGGTAGACATGAAGAATTGTCTAAATCACGATTCCTATTATAGTACCTGTTTTGGAAGACATAGTACAACTTCTTCTTCTACGAAGTACCAGTTTTCGATCTAATAGTGCCTGCTTTTGGTCAACAAAGATGGATTATTTCAATTGTGGTCAACATTTCAAAAAAGTAGTACCAGCCATATAGAAAGGCAATACCAGTGGTACACTGCCTTAGTACCAGTTATCGGGTCTTTAGTACCACATGTAAGGAACTCGTAAAAACACCGAATTTCGTACACAATTGACGTTTATACGAGATTTCATAATCACTCTAACATTAGTTTATACGAGATTTCAAATATTTTTATTTCAGTACAAACATATAGGTACTAATAAGTTAAAACATATAGGTAGTAATAAGAAAACACTACTACTATACTTCATTTCATTGAAAGACACCCTTCATCTCAAAGGATCATCATACATGACTACTCCAATTTGTACCTATATATTTTAACTTCTGATATTTTTCGTCCGGATCACGCGTACACGATCCACGTGACAAGGTAGACATGAAGGATTGTCTAAATCACGATTCCTATTATAGTACCTGTTGTGGAAGACATAGTACCACTTCTTCTTCTACGAAGTACCAGTTTTCGATCTAATAGTACCTGCTTTTGGTCAACAAAGATGGATTATTTCAATTGTGGTCAACATTTCAAAAAAATAGTACCAGCCATATAGAAAGGCAATACCAGTTGTACACTGCCTTAGTACCAGTTATCGGGTCTTTAGTACCACATGTAAGGAACTCGTAAAAACACCGAATTTCGTACGCAATTGACGTTTATACGAGATTTCATAATCACTCTAACATTAGTTTATACGAGATTTCAAATATTTTTATTTCAGTATAAACATATAGGTACTAATAAGTTAAAACATATAGGTAGTAATAAGAAAACACTACTACTATACTTTATTTCATTGAAAGACACCCTTCATCTCATAGGATCATCATACATGACTACTCCAATTTGTACCTATATGTTTTAACTTCTGATATTTTTCGTCCGGATCACGCGTACACGATCCACATGACAAGGTAGACATGAAGGATTGTCTAAATCACGATTCCTATTATAGTACCTGTTTTGGAAGACATAGTACCACTTCTTCTTCTACGAATTACCAGTTTTCGATCTAATAGTACCTGCTTTTGGTCAACAAAGATGGATTATTTCAATTGTGGTCAACATTTCAAAAAAGTAGTACTAGCCATATAGAAAGGCAATACCAGTTGTACACTGCCTTAGTACCAGTTATCGGGTCTTTAGTACCACATGTAAGGAACTCGTAAAAACACCGAATTTCGTACGCAATTGACGTTTATACGAGATTTCATAATCACTCTAACATTAGTTTATACAAGATTTCAAATATTTTTATTTCAGTACAAACATATAGGTACTAATAAGTTAAAACATATAGGTAGTAATAAGAAAACACTACTACTATACTTCATTTCATTGAAAGACACCCTTCATCTCATAGGATCATCATACATGACTACTTTTGGTAAAATGATTTAACATGAAGGGAATCACGATTTAACAT